CTTTTGAGGCCGCCCGGTTTTGCCAGGCGGACCCCCCCGGTCCATCTGGCCCGGTCCGTGTGGCCCGGGCCTGCCCGGCCGGGCGGCTGCCCAGCCCAGGTACAAACGACTTTTGGCTGAAGGTCACATCAGAATTCCTCACGGAATTGCAATCACACTCGCTTTCTTTTCCACTTCGCATACATGCAAACAGATGGCGATTCACACTGGCGCAGCGCGCCCACTCAAAGCTCAGAGATATGGAAAATGAGAACACACTTCAGATGCAAAAATCGCTTCAACAAGCTATGGCACTTCGGCGCCTGCACATCCAACTCTCGTCACTGTGTCCAACACCACCGTTCGCACATATCAACTCTGGATCACCCTGAATACTCCACACGCTTCCCTCTCTTACACACACACACACTGAAGCCTATCTTCCTCCTACAGCGGCTATGGCCGCTCTACTGCTACTGACTATGCCTACATTATCTCTCTTCAGCCGACTTCGACTTCGGGCGACCTGCAGACCACCTCGCACAAGACGCTGTAGCAGCGCATCCGCATGGCTTACGCAGCGAATGAATGAATTGCTGGGCGCTGCTTCTTGATCTATACTTCTGTTTGCCTCTGGTCTGCCCCTTTCCACCAGGCCCTTGGTGTTCACAGTCCACACAGTACTTGCTTGACCGGACTGAGGGTGACTGGGACTGGTACCATTGACTGCATGAGGTTGCACTGCCGACTCAACGCAGTTGGACCTGCGACTCACCTACAGACCTCTAGCCTAGCAGTTTCGACCGCTACACAGCTATGACCCCTACTCGGCAGACCTACAGATCGAACCCCTACAACTACACAGACCTACGACAGACAAACAACCAACTACCAAAACACAGGTCATGGGTTCAAACACTCGGGGTTCAGCTCGATACCGTACATGGGCAAGGTAAGGTCTAGGGATCGAACTCTAGGGCCCGCATCTGTGACTGCAAAATGTGAAAACCGTTTCAGAATCAAAGAGAAAAAAGAAAACAACAGAATCCAAACTAAGGCACCCCCCTTTCAACCCCTTTAGCCCCTTAAGAACCAATTTATATCCCCTTCCCCTCCGTTGACAGCCAACGCTCCAAAAAAGAAAGAAGCCCGGATTTGGGCTCCTCTGGCCATGATCAGAAAACCTCCACCCCCCCCCAAGGCGGCTTGCCCGGGTCTGCATGGCCCAGCAAGCCAAGTAGCCTAGCTTTGTTTTCAATCGCTGCACATTTCATCAGTCACCCTGCGTTTATCAAAACTCTGTCTGAACAGGCACAGGATTGTCCAGTTGGACCTCTAGCATATACCGTTTCACATTTTGGCCCACCTCATCTGTTCATGGTTAGGCCTCTGTCCGACTTTTTATGCTTGAGCCAATTCATGGTCGAAACCCGTTGCTGGGACAGCAAGGTAGTATGACCCTGAGTAGTGACCCGGGCCACTCGTTGGTTCTTCAGCGCCATTGTCGCCATTGCCATCGTTATCACAATTGTCGCCTCCACCTCCTCCATCTCCCACCTTGCACTTTGTTTATGTATGGTTCCAGCGGGAGGTTTCTATTGTGTCCGGACCCCTCCTCGGCTGGCGTGACATCTGTTCTCAGTCACATTGTCATTTGGCTGCATTGCGTGGTCAGTCACATCTGATTCAAGTCTTCTGCTGTATAACAATGTATCTCGTCCTCGTGTTAGTGATCTTTGGAATTTGCATTGCCTCAAACTTATACCAGGCAGACATCAATAAGGATGATGATTAAGATTCAGGAAGGTCCGGGCTTGCTTGCATCAATGCCTCAGGTAATGTCGTGATGGACTGGCATTCTACCTAGGAAGAATGATGTGGGTGAGGAAGGATCTATGTTAGCTCTCTCTCTCTCTCTCTCTCTCTCTCTCTCTCTCTCTCTCTCTCTCTCTCTCTCTCTCTCTCCCTCTAGTTCTTGTGCACAGGCCTGCACCTGTCTCTTATACACATCTAGATGTGTATAAGAGACAGATCCAACACAGGCCAAAGCAATCCATCACCTGCTCACACCACAAGTTGAACCCCACAGACTGTTGGTTCCCACCACCCACTGAGCCAGGAGTCACTTTGACAAGCATCCGTCATCACTCATGGGAACACAGACATCCTGAACAGAGCAACCCCCCAATNCTCTCTCTCTCTCTCTCTCTCTCTCTCTCTCTCTCCTTATCAGCCCCTCTAGTTCTTGTGCACAGGCCTGCACTACATCTCCCCCCCTCTTCCGATCTCTCACAGGCCTTATGTGTACCTCTTTCTCAGTATTCCCTCCCGAGTGAACCTCTCTCTTGCACCTCTCGGCTTGCTCACGCTCGAGCCAGTTGATTAACTGGATCAATTGGCCAAGCTTGTCGAGTCTAATCGGTGGGAAATCCTATCTGATTGACTGGCTACCTCAATCTGCTGGACTGTCTGGTCTGATAGGATCGAGGACCAGCTGGATGCTCTGATCATCCCAGAAGGTAGACTGCCTGATCTAATCAGACTAGCTGACAAGACAGGATCCACTTGGCCACTGATTAAGGTCTGGTTAGCTGCTGATCGGGATTCAATTGGCTGTCAATTCGAATCGATCAGAAGAATAGGAATAGAATTGGGAACAGCAAATGACTTTGTGGTAGTATATTTCCCATAGATCCTGCCATTGACCTGTCCCCTCCCAGAAAGTGGTGATCGATCGTTGGATAAGGGACAGACCTGAAGCAGCATGATTTCACGAACTTCTCATGGGCAAATTATTCCCATCTCTTGCCCCGCAGATGACCGAGCCCTGCATTGGCAAATTCTTCATAGATGCCTCCCAGCCCCAGATTGGCTGGTTTGCTGTTCCAAGCCGGAAGAGAAGGGTCTCCTCGCCCCCATATGCTCTAACCTGGAATTTCCTCCCCACACTGGAGGCCTCTTGGCCTGCCCCATGGTGGTGTGGATATGGAGATGGTGCGATGAAGCATCGATCACTCTCTCAGGGGGTCAGTTCCTCTATAATACCCAACTACTTTCCGAAGAACAATGTACTAAACCCCACACAGGGGATCTTTTGAACATAATTAGTCAGGAAACCTAGGCCATTAATCCTTATGGTGATTAGGGGAGCAAGATGCTTCGTTGAGAAGAAAAGCACACAATTCTGGGTTTATCCCAGCCACAGGAGAAATTGCAGAAACAAGGAAAGTAAATATCCAACAAGCCTGGGAAATCATGAGGGAAAACCCCAGGATGAAAAGTACCCTGTCAACATTAACTATATTACACAGACTTCTCCAACTATTTTGATTGACCCTAAAGAGGAAAAATATGCAAACCCGATCACAACCACAACATGATCTGGAAGAACTGGAGACTCATTTAGCCGGTCCATCACCTCTTGTGCTCTTCCGCCCCACAAACTATGCCATGCCTTGAACAACCTCTTGCACAGTCCACTTAGTGCATATACCTTCGTTTCTTTCATTTCTCTCTCCCCCTTTTTCCCTCCCCTCATCCTCCCCACAAACTACGTCATGCCTTGAACAACCTGTTGCACAGTCCGCTCAGTGCATATACCTTCTTTTTTTTTTTTTCTCTCACCCCCCTTCCCCCTACCCCCCCCGGCTCCCCCTCAAGCGGCCAAGCGGAAAGCTTACGTGGGCAGGCTACAGTTATTTAGATCCTACCTGAGCAGACTGTTGTCCTTTTGGAGAGGAAGATAAATTCCAGAATTACACCGCCAGCAGAAGTCAATCGCGGCCCCAACCAACCGGATTTGTGGCCTTATGCAAGCAGGCCATGCTTTCCATGTACCAGCCTGACTGCAGTTAGTTCAAGGCATACTCGACTGGGAAATTTTTTTGCAACTCCGTCATACTCGTGGTTTAACTCACATCTATTGATCCAAGTATGACTAAGAAAGGAGTAATGTGTGAGGCCAATTGAGATGTGGAAAATGGGGAGAGACCACACCGGGGACTGTATTTTTCCACAGAAGCCTTGGCAACTTCAGCAAAGCAGACTGTGTTAGGGAGACGGGTGGGACATTACGACCCGCTATTGAGCAAGGCCCCACTGCAAATAGACTGTGACAAGGGGAACACCTGGTTTAAAGAACTCCATACACCTGTCTGGAACTGCATCTTTTCGCACAGCCTGACAACCTCAGGTATCTGTTTTACGTCAGCAAATGATATCCTTTAGTGCTCGGTGGAGAAGGCCGTAGAAGGCACGAAGTGCTCAGCCTAGACAAGACACAGCCACCTCTAGCCTTTTTCCAGATCTCTGCGATTCTCTTGTCTGGCATCAGCTCAGATGCGAAGCATCTGCTGAGGACAGTGCAAGGTCAGGAAACCAATACTCTAGCTACACCTGGGTTAAGAGTCCGAAGGCACAAAGCGAAGCTGACAAACAGCTTCCCTTCCCGAGCCCACCAACAAGGCTAGGGGGTCTATGATCTGCTACTGGGCAAGGCCTCACGGGGGTCTATGCTGCTTTGTCAACTCATGGTTCATGTTTATGTTTCTGTCTGCTGGGACGCTGGACCCGGTTTCCAGCAGATGCAGCTCCACTCCAGCAGAACGACAGCAGCAAGGTTTCAATTACAGGAATGCTGGTACCATTTTTTTTTTATTATTTTTTTTTTTAAATCAAGGCTAATTATTTAAGCCCAACCAATTCAATTACCTGTAGAATCTGGACAGGACGGCCTTTCAGGCCTTTTTTATTGTCATTACAGTATTACAGGGAACCCCGTAGCAGCCACATCGGTGCTCAAGCCTCCAACGAGGGAACATGCGGGAGCTGCACCCACCAGCAGGTGGGCGATACCGGCCAGGGGTCATCCGGTAGCATCAAGAAAGGCCTAACTTGCACACACACACACACACACAAAAAAAAAANCAAATTCTTTCAATTCACCTTCACTACCTACCTACCACTACTCCTAAGGCTTAGACAGGGGACCCCTGCAAACATAGCTTTGTTGTCTCCCTCCAACCATCAGAGGGGATGCATGTTGCCCCCCGCCCCAACCATGGTGGTCAAGGATGGGGTGGGGCCACCGGTGGGGGTCCGGCTAACGCAAAGACCGAGCATTTTGCCAGTAGCTGCGCCTCCCTTTTCATCGTCCCCCACCCCCAACCGAATAACAGCAGTGTCTAAGGCCAACACTCTCCCACACACCACACACAACCCACTCACACTCACACTCACACCCGTGTTGGCCAAGGACCCTGCTGTCACCGATCAGAGGTATCAAGCGGACTATCACTGCTGGTTGGCACTACGTGCGCCACAGGCGGTTGTGGGGCTCGAACCCACAACCTCCTCAATGCCACTTGCGTGCCTAACCAACTGCGCTAGGCTGCAGGGGCCGTGTATGTCATTTGTCACCGGAAAAAAGGGAAACTAAAAACCATCACGGCTGGTTCGCGAGCGTCCTGTAGCTCGTTTGTGGCCGGAAGAGGAGAACTAAAACATGCAATCTGTCTGGTCGGCGCCATAGCCGTCAGAATTGCCAGATCTTGGCTACCTTCTTCACCCGAATACAACGTAACGTCATTATAGCTGTATTTGGGATATCTTTCAGTCTAAATCCAGCAATAATGACCGTACGTTGTATTCGGACGGGTGAAGAAGGCAGCACGCACACTGCCGCCACTGAGTGTGGGCCTCAGATGGGTATTCCATTCTGGGCTTTCCATCCGCGAAACCCGGCAACACGGTCTGAACGACCCCAGATGTTGTCGTCAGCGACATTCCTCAATGGAGTACGGGCATCAGACACAATACGGACGGTAGCGTAGTAGCAAGAAACGGATAGCCCCATCCCGGCAGCCAAATTGCAGCTCTGCCTGCAGGCGCTGTCGCGTCGAGTGGTGTATGTGTGCTATTAATAACATCCTTCAAAACGCAGAAGCCGGCAAGAGCTTCAAGACTGCAGGACAGAGAGGTTGATCGGGATCAAACAGCATCATCACCTGGCCAAGCCATCGACTGGCCGGCTCAGTTGTTAACCCTGAGATGAGAGGGACGGACAGAGTTGATGAGAGAGAAACAGAGTAACGGACGAGAATTTCTCCCAACCAGCGTCAATCAAGTTCAGGAGGAGCTATGTTCCCGTCTCTCATCAAAGGCAGACAGAGGACATCAGAATAGAGAGACACAGACAGACATAGACGCACGAGTTGACGGGCAAACTTAGAACATCCCATCACTCGTCTCATCACTAGGATGGTGGTCACCCCCCGCAGTACGTACCTGTCACGGGTAGTTACATCCAGTTCATCCGTGACGTCACTAACAGCACGCCTTCCTTCTGAGCATGCTCCGCTCTTCTATATCTTGCCTTGGACGTGACGAATGACTGAAAAAAACGGAGCCGCTCCCCAACGCCACGCCCTCTTGAAATGCCAGAGAGTGTTCACGATAGTCACTCTGAAGTTCCCGGCATATCCAACCATCCAAATGCACACGATCATTTCGACCATGTCCGATCCCGGGGGCAGAATATCTTATCTTTTTGTTTGTTTGTTTTTTTCAAAAAGGGCGACGGCCGTGAAATACCATCGACGAACTGATCGACTCCATGTAATTCAGAACGACTGAATTTCATTCATCTAGTTCCATCTGGATTCGAACTCTGGTCTGTATTCCAGCAGACCGTTACGAACACACGAGAAGGGCATATATCGCACCGTCCTCCTCTCTCGTCCGTTACAGCGTACGGATATCTCCGTAGTTCCGTCTACATTCGTCCATCCATCTCCTGTGCGGGGGCCTGTTGATGTTTGTTCCATGGGCATCATCTCCGCACGGCTTGTTGATGTCCCTGTTCCATTGGCGGATCACATTGTTGTGTGCACGGGCCATCATATCCCAATGCATTCCCTGGCTGCAGGCGACAACAAATACTAACAAGTAAAAGATTCGTCGCCGTCGACACCTTGATTGAGACCTATTATTGAATCGGGAACGCGATCGACTCCTTGTTTGGTTGAGACCTGTGTATTAGTGTTAAACCGCGAAAACGATCGACAGCCAGAAGGTGCTAACCACATTACTGCAGGAGGCTTTGCCCTCGCTATCCTGCGGGAGGCTGTAATGATGCAACCCGTACTTGAGATGCGTGGCGTGGCACTCTCCAGGGCCAAAGCCTGCAGCAACTACCTCACGGTTGTGCGCGCCTGTGTTGCCGATCAACGTGGTTGGTAGATGTGTTCATTGCGCTGCCCTGGCTGGCGGTCGTGAGAACTAGAGTAGTCGAGGCAGGGACTGCGTTATGGTTGAAGCCACCATCATTTCTCATGCTGATACCTGCACGCCGGTCTACGTTATGGACCTGCTGGGTTCGGTAAGGACCCGCGTTAGGATCGTTTTACCTGCTCCCCTTCTGGGAGTCCCCTTCTGGGAGGACGCAGGCATAAAGTAATCCGCCCTTGGCTATGAGCACCACCCCCCTTTATCAGGACACACCACTATGATGCGATGGCCTCTGCAGCCGTGTGCGTAGAGCATTATTACACTTGCGTGCCTCACTGTATGCATCCCCTGCAGCCTGACATTGCACGTCGAAATTCTAGCCACGGAGGTTGCACTGCGTGTATGATGGATGACCTGCGATGCCGCCCCCACCCTCCGTCGTCGCTGCTTGCAACCGGCATGCCATTTGTCAGACCTGCTTTCGAGGCATGGTTTCATCACCTGCTGCGAGTGTGACTGTTGCACTGAGAGCTCTCTCTATGCCTTGCCTTGCAACACCCACATTATCCGCAAAATCATGTCAACCTCCTTGACGTTTCATTCTTTGGTTTCCCCGATTCTAATCGCTGATATCCCTCTTTTGCTGCTTTCGCCCTCTACGATGCAACTTGTTCTTTTTATAAGGACTCGAGCATTGATTGGCACTTCTCGCTCCACCGTACAAGCCTAGGGAATCCGGCATTCTACAAAAATGGAAAAGGGAGCTGTGATCCCGTCTGGAATTCCACCATTGCCGTTTGTTGAACTGAGTAATTTCATCAGTGCCCCTGCCAGAGTGTCCGGTGACATTCTGACAACGGTCGTTGTCAGATCGTGTTTTTTTCTGATTAATTGATGTAGAAACACACTGGAGTTCCGCAAGCGACAATCCCGCCGTCCTCCCGTGAAGTAGTGAATAGATGGAGTGGAAAATATTTAGTTATTTGGCCTTTCTCTCCTTCCCAAGCAGTTTGAAGTTCGCAAGGACCACAAAATTGTTGGAGGAGGAAGAGAAGGCTCGGGACAAGGGACAAGAAGAAGACATGAAACCTGAGGCAGTCGGAGGCAGTCAGGGGGGGAGAGGGAAAGAGTCCCAGATATTGCCGAATTGCATGGGACCAAGCTGAGAAAGAGGAGAAAGAGAAACAGAGCGGCAGGTGGTGTATCAGGCTTGAGACGGAAAGCGTTGAAAGGGAGGGCAGAGAAAGACAGATATGGGTGGATGGACTGACCTCCCACGCTATGGCATGTTGCTGACGCTTCTGAATTTCCTTACTGCCTTCGTTCGTAGCACGGGGGGAAGATCTCGCTGCCGTTGTCGCCCCTTGCTTCTCCTGGCTGACACTTGGTCCATCTCCTCCCGATCCTCTGTCACCGCTTCCGTCACCCCTTGACAAGGCAAAACCCGTCTTCCGCTGCATGGCTTTCCTCCTCTCTTTTACGAATCTATTCTGAGTCTCGATCCTCTCCTTCAGCTCCCTGAAATCGTCCATGGCTTCATCCAACACCCGCACAGCTTCGTCTATGTTTGCAAGGTCGCATTCGAGCTCGCACAGGCAGTAAAGCTCGTCCACTGATCGACTAAGGTTCTCAAACAAGTAAAGCCACAACCTTTGTCTAAATCGTTCTGTGCGCACCATACAGCTGCCCTTCCGTTCCCTCCTCGTCGCCTCTTCGCGATCTTCTTCGCCCCCCTCCTCCTCCGCCGCCGCCGCCGCTGGCGCCTCCTCTTCACCTGAGTGCGCCTCGTTCTCCTGTGATCGGCGTTGATCAGGCACGGAGTCAACCTTTCCATTCCCATGCTCATCCTCTCTCTCACCCTCAGAATTTCCGTAGCCTCCCTTCCAGTCTTTCCCTACTGCTCCGAACACCCTCGCTCCACTATTCCTCGCCGTTATCTCGTCACCGTCCCTCCCGTCCGTTCCCGCCTTCCCATCGAGTCTCACGCTGCCATCATAATCTCCGTCCTCGCCATGGCTCAGTCTAAATTGCTGCGAATCATCGTTGGGCTCCATCGCGTTCGCCCCTTCAGAGTCATCTTCACCGCCCCCCCCTAGCCAATTGATATTGTCATTCACACGCGGAGCGAAAGATAACTCCGGACCTCCGAGGGCGTTTAGGCCAACTTCCTCAACCCCCATTTCCTCCTCCGCATCCACCAACTCCAAGCTCTGTTTTCCGCAAATCTTGACCGCCCCCCCCTCACTGATGACGCTGAGAGCCCCTCCTCCTCCTCCTTCTCCTCCCTCGCCAACAGCTTTTCTGTTCTCCTCTTGTCGCTCGAGAATGTCCACAATCGACCCATCGCTTGAGGCATCGACTCCAACCTTCGCTGACCATGCTTCGGCGGCGCACACTCTCGCGGGGTCGTTTCCAAATTCATCCAGCTCTGAACCCTGTCCCGTACTGGTGGCGTGCGCTCCTAGAACTTCGCGCAGGCGCCGCTCCTTCTCTCTGTCTGTCTCTTTTCCTCTACCCATCCCTGGTCTTTCACCGTTCTTCTCACCCTCCACCATCACAGCTTTTACACCCGCATTCTCTCCCCCCACTGCATAATGGCGAGGCTCTTGCGTCGCTTTCTCCTGCACTCTACCACCAACAAGATATCCCGCGTCATCCCTCACCTCCATAAATCTAGAAATAGCCTGCTGCACAGGACCCCCAGCCCCCTCTCTGAAGTCCCCTGGTTCGGCTCCCTCCGTCGTGGCCAAGCGCATCTCAGCTGGGCGACTCGCTTTGAGCCCACGATTCTTGCCCTGCTCCGGAACTTGCTCTTTCTGCTCAGCATGCATCCCGTCTCCGGAGCTCTTCCGCTCCTCGCATAGCCGCGGTTCCGCCTCATCCCTCCACTTCTCCTTGACTGCCTCATCTTGATCGCCGGATGAGGACTCGCCAAGGTTCCCAAGCCCCACCTCGGGCGCGGCCTCGGCCTCTGCCCCATCGCTGCTGCCAGAAGCATCTCCGTCGACATCCCGCAAGATCCCTTCATCTCGCCCTTCCTTCCTCTTCTTCCTTTCCAAGCTTTTCACATCGTTCCTTTTCTGCGCGTTTTCCCTAGAACGGCTTTGCTTCTGCGGTCCATCATCCCCCACCCCCGGGTTCTCGGTAGCACCAACGTCATCCGCGCAACCGTTACAGCCCAAGGTCACAGCCAGACATTTCTTCTCCTCCTCGGTTCCGATTCCTTCCGATTTCTGATGCACAGCAGCTGCTTCACTTCCCTTGGCCATCGCGCCGCCGCTCTTAGCCGCTTTCCCATTCATTATTCGCCTGCTGTCAACCCCTCGCTGTATTTCATCCTCCTCCAGATCGCCCCACTTGAATTTGAAAGGAGGCACTGTCGTCATCTGCTGACACACGAAAGCCGGCATCATCACTGCACTTTCCCGATTGCTACTAGCCCAAGCCAATGCAGCAGCACTCTCCGCTACGTCACTCTGCGGGTACGCCATCTGGACATCCCCAGGGCTGACCCTCTGCTTGCGCTCTCCTCGTAGTGGCATTCCCAATCGACCGCCATCGGTCTCACCCTCTCGCTCGTCCGTTTCCTTTCCCCCCTCTTGCTTTCCTCCGTCCCCCACTACTCTCCCAACTTCTCCCACCTCCACGTGGGGAACCTGGACCGGCTCTTTCCGCCGATCGCGTCCTAGACTTTCTCCTCCTAGGCTCGTAGACGAAGCTCCACCGTTCGCAGCAATTGCCTTCTCCTCGCCCTTCGGTAGCCTCCTCGCTGCCACTTCGCTGCCATCTCCCTTCTCTTTCACCTGCGATCTGAAGCCGTCTTTCTTCCCGCCGGCAATGACAGCCTCATCCGCAGTCTTCATCATCCGACCACCACCACCCCGCCTCTCCAGCGAGCTTAGATCCGCCGTACTTGCGTTGCCATTGTCCCTAAACCCGTCTCTGCTCTCCTTCGTTACATCACGGTTCTCCCGCAACCCCTCTCTATAGTCCTCCGAACCATCCCTTGAGCCTCTCTTTCCACTGCTCTTAATACTTTCCCGCCTCTTTTCCAGTCTCCGCCCTGATGCCATGCCGATCCCCCCTGACCCTGAAGCAAGTCTTCCTCCTCCTGCCATTCGTGCTGGATTGCTACTGCTCCCCCGCTTCCCCTTCCAACCCGAGCCGCTCCACTACAGCGCGACACGGCGTGCCTTGCCACTGACAGACGCGGCCGTAAGACAAGGCATGCTCTCTTCTCCCTCAGCTTTCCCCGTCTACACCATTTCCGCCGCCTTTCATCCCACAGCTCCCGTCCCCTGCTGGATCCTGCACTCCCCAGGTATCCTGGCACGTCCCGGGGTCAACATTTCCATCAGCTTTGGCGACAAAAGCTAAATAGCACATTACCTAGGGCCTCCCCGGAAAAGGAGAACCGCCTAACGTTGCTCCGGCAGCACATCACTCATCAGCTCCTGCAAGCACAGTGAGTCACCTTGTTGATGACGGGTACTGCGCAGCTCGGCTTAGCCTCCATTTCAACTCTTCTGCGACGCCGATTCAGTTCATGGTCGGAAGGCAAGTCCTGCAACCGGAAGTTCAAGAGACGAGAACTCATTTGGGAACACGCACAGAAATCAACCATAGGCAATTCCGTGATCGATCCCCGGTGGCTGCAGTTCGTTCAAAGATAGATCGGCCTTCATCGTCTCTCCCACGCAGTCCGCAGCGCAAATGTCTGCTCAGACCACCCCTAGCCCACGGGAATCTGCACTGTGGATAGAAACGCATCAAAACACCTCAAAGCACTGGAAAACATGCAGCTTGTAATTACAGGGAGAACACTATAGGGAGACAACTAGCATGGCCCCCGAGACAACACAACGAGTAAAGTCGGAACCTGCAGAACACACATCGCAGTAAAGCATGACCGCCCACTCACAAGCGCGGAACCTCATTCGTTGTCTGTGCGGAAATCAGTTCACTTGGCAGGGAATTGCCAGGCCAGCCTAGCTCGGCAGTTACAGGCGTAGCTTACTGGACTACCCACAGCTCGCCACAATCACTTTTCACTTTTTTCAAAATGTTTGTGGAGCTGTCACACACGGCTGGCGATAACCCCTGAAGGAGGCCACGTGGCGAGCCCTCCCAGCACCTCGGCGCTGGGATTCACTGCGGGTGTACGCTGCTTCACTGGGAACGGTGGTCCGACCCGGCGCAGGTAGAGGACGTCCGGTAGGGGACAAGGAACGGTGAGCGGATTTCATGGCGGGCTCTGGGGCGGAAGAAAAGAAAGGGAGGGTGGGTAGAGGTTGCGGGGAGGGTTAGGGCCTGATCCGACTACCACTACGGAGCGTAGTCTGATTGACTTACCGTGAGGGCACGGGTGCGCAGCCCGTAGTTTGTTTGTTGATGTTGTTGTGGACGTGTGTTTGTGTGTGTAGGGAGATGAGTCCACCTCGTTCAGAGACAAGGCAAGCTGATTTTACATACTGACACAGCACAATGAATACATAAAGTACGGGATCTTCAGTGTGGGATGATCCGTCAGCAGAATCAGATGAGAAGAGTCATGTTCCAAAAGGCCATATGCAACAATACTCCTTCAAACCGCCCATTCGCATTATGCAGAGAACAGAACCAATCATCCAGCAGATGATGGGAAGGAACAGTTAAGGAACGAAGCCAAGGAACGAAGGAGGAGATAGAGGTAGGGGGATGGTATAGATCAACTTCCATAAGAAAGGGACGCAGTAGATGCATAAAGCTTTTGCACACATCCAATGAAGGGCAGACGAAAAAACCGAGTGGGGAGGAAGCTTTCACAATTCCCACTTGACAATACATCTATCACAAAACGATCAAGCAAAGGGTTGAGACTGGGAAAACCATGCATGTCTATCTGAGTTTACAAAGGGAAAAGATCCGAAATGCCTATTTCCTACACATAAATTGTGATAGAGGACCGATTAAAACAGCGTGAGTACAGCTCCTACTCATTTGGTGACAACAAAGCACCTATAAAATGCAGATCAGGATCTTTCGACGCAGAAAACTGATTTCGAACAAAAAAAAACTGAGGGAATGCAAAATCTTCCTTTCCGACGAATATGGGGATGAGAAAGTCGTTCATGAGACGTTGTAGGAGGTGAAAAAAAATGTGGAAAAAAATTATGATAAAAAAAGTGATGAAAAAAGTCCCATGTGTCGAAAAATGTTGAAGCGACTCACTCACTCATTGATTCATAAACCACAAGATAGATGACAATATTATTCTACCACCCAAAATACGGTGGAAACGTTCAAACGAGGAGTAAACAAATCCCGGCGAGTAACAACACCAAAGAGGGAGTATATTATTGCTGACGAAACTCAAGTACCCGGCAAATCTAGATCAATCGAAAAATGCATATCAGCCAGGACACGGATCAGATAATGAGCAAAACGAGCAAAACCATTCAACAGGCAAGTTGCAACTACGGCCTATACCCACCGACTCAGTGAACAAGGAAACGTACTTCCGACTGGGCTGCTTATCTACTTCAAGAGAGGGAGACTCATTCGTGAGGTACGAAAAAAACAACCACTGCCTCATTAATACTACCCCTCACGATGGGAAATTCCCATCCGGAAAAAAACAGCGAATAAAGCCGCAACGGCCGGCTCCAGAAAAATAAGCTCAAAGCGAGCCCTGACAGATTCTCAAATGAAAAGAACTAATTCCAACGACATAGAGATACTCAAAAGAGACAGTCTGAATGCAGCACCTAAGTCAGATCCTAGATCATCACCTGGTCTCTGCACTAGACTATTCTACTAAAAAAAACTCTTAAAGGAACTGCGCAGCACTAAAGATCAACATCTCRCACTGGTAATCAACCGATCACAAGTCAAGGTGGATCCCAGGGGAACACGAACGTGCACTCATTGAAACTGCAGGCGATCATTGTGATTCCACAAGTGAAAGATGCAAATAGGAAAGCAACTGATACAACCGCAACCGATCGGAGAGAGCTAGAAAGGTCCGAGTTCGGGGGACCACGGGCTGAGTACTGGGAAAGCATCGGAGAATCAGGATCGGAGTGCATRTTGGTGGCAAGAAAGAGGATCATCATGAATGWTAGAATAAGCATAGCGGTGGTTGAAGAGATGACGAAATACAAAGGCTGCCTACAAGAGATTACGCAGTGTTCCTTGTGACGGGACATTTAGAATAGAGGAGAGAAGAATTCCTGACGCAGGAGGATCCTATCAGAACACGACGGTGATCTAAGCAATTGAGGAATTCAAAGAAGGTGAAGGTGGCCAGCAACAAGCAGAAGATCGTGAAGACACCCCGAAAAAAAGCTCCGTAATCCATAGGGGCCGCTCCCATATCCAGTTCTGCCTAACGAAGCTTCGACTCTTCAAGCAATTCGTATGTCAGCCATACACAGACACACGCAACAAGCAAGATGCATCATCATGCATTAAATACCCTTTCATAAACGGAGGGATTTTAGGCGGGAAGTAGGAGAAACACAAACCATTAACAAATATAAATAGAAAGGAGTGAGATTAGGGGACACACAAAAATGTACAGCTCCCAGATTGGCCAAGCGACTCAAACTTGTCGACGCAACCTGCACGAGGGGGTAGCAGAAGATTCCCTAAAGCTTTTTCACCAGCTTCTGCAATAMTGGCTCATCAGGGGGGAGACACCCCTTGGTTGTCGTTCCAAAATGGGAGAGAGGACATAACACTTTTTAGCAAAATATTGGGGGGGAGATAGTAGTGAAGGGAAGGAGTGAACATAGGCGAGAAACCACATAGGGGAGAGAAGCATGGATGGTTAAATGGAAGTTATTCACATTCAATCTGAAATGTTCGTAGCGGTGGGGAGAGGGAGGATGAGAGAGACGAGGGGAGAAGAACGAGGGAAGGAGGAGGGGGGGAGGGKGGAGGGGCAAGTGGAAGCGATTCACATCCAATCGAAGAAGATCGCAGTTGCGGGAAGGGGAGAGGAACAAAGGGAGACGAGAGGGGGAAGGAGGAGGGGGGGAGGGTGGAGGGGTAAGTGGAAGCAATCCATTACCACTGTCGCACGAGATGAGGACGCCGAAGCCATGGCACGTCAAAGACAGAGTATTCAACTGAGCTGAGCGGGATCAAATGAGCATCACAAATTTCTAGGAGTCAATCACCACAAACAATCGCGTACACCCGTGTGCTTAAAAAAAGCAGCGCGTAGTCGCCGTCAAATCCGACACAGTCGCTCCTCGTTACATTAGAGGTTCCACGATGAATCCTTGATGAAGAATCCACAAGCGGGGAACATGCGCATACATTGACCGGAGCGAGCTAGCGCATACGGACACTCAGCAAGAAGCAACTGTCGTGTCTCTAGGGCGAAGCAACTGACGCCGGCTGGCGCAATGGGAAAATTCCTTCGCCGCAGGAGAGGAGCACCGAGCGCCAAACAGAAGTAGTCGCAATATTATCTTGGGAATACCGCTTAGAAGAAGCCCAACACTAGAAGGAGCTCGCGACCGTAGGTTGGCTGAGGCGACGCAGTGAATCAACCAAAGTACGGGCGCACGACTCCTTCGCAGCGGGGAAAGAGGAGGAATAGAGAGGCGTAGACCTTGTTATAAATAGTATAATCTATAGTGCAAACCGCATTCGGCGGGAAAGTCTTTCGAGAGGGGGGTTTGCCGTGATCGGGCCCATTTTGGGACTAGGTATGGTGAACCGGGAGGGTACGAAAAGTCGGTCTGTACTACTGGGAGGGGGGCATCTTAACGGGGGGTGATCCATCGGGGCCGCGGAGCAAAAAGAATACCGTATATGGAGTGATTATGTAATGACATCTAGGAAACCCGAAAAAACATCCTTGTTTAAATGATTATTTAGTATTAATTTAACCAATTTAACATCCCAACTCTATTTTTATGTTCGTAAAATAGAGTGTGTGTGTGTGTGTGTGTGTGTGTGTGTGTGTGTGTGTCCCTCCCCTGTCTCGCAGACTGGGCAACCGAGGGAGGCGGGCATCCAGGTACCCGCCTCCCGGGCATGTACCCATCCGCCACCATCAAGGTCATGCAGGTCGGGACCAGGATGTATACACACATCAAGACACAACCACCACATCCTCTACACATTCGTGATATCCTATGTATAGACATTC